AACAGTGGCTTTGTAATACAGCTTGATATCTGGTATAGAGATCCCACCTATTCTGTTCTTCTTTTTCATGATTGCTAGTTATTCAAGGTCCTTTTTTATTCCATGTGAATTTTTGGAAAGTTCGTTGTAGGTCTGTGAAATATGCCATTGGTATTTTAATGGTGAGTGCACTGAATCTGTAGATTGCTTTGGGTAGTATGGACATTTTGATGATGTTGATTCTACCAATCCAAGAATACAATATGTTTTTCCATCTGTTTATGTCTTCCTCTATCTCTTTTTTCAGTATCCTGTAGTTTTCTGCATAAAGGTCTTTTATCCCTTAGTTAAGTTTTTTCCTAGGTATCTTAATTTTTTTGGTGCGATGGTAAATGGGATTGCTTTTCTAGTCTCTCTTTCTATAAGTTTACTATTGTGTAAAGAAATGTAATAGATTTCTTGGCATTAATTTTGTATCCTGCTACATTGCCAAATTCATTTATTAAGTCTAGTAATTTTTTGATGGAGTCTTTAGGGTTTTCTATGTACAATATCATGTTATCTGCAAATAAGGACAGTTTTACTTCTTTTCCAATTTGGATGCTTTTATTTCTTCTTTTACTATGTTGAACAGAAGTGATGAGAGTGGGTATCCTGTCTTTTTCCTGTTCTTAGGGAAAATGGCTTTAGTTTTTGTCCATTGAGTATAATGTTGGCTGTGGGTTTTTCATATATAGCTTTTATTATGTTGAGGTATGATCCTTCTATTCCCACCTTGCTGAGTGTTTTGATCAAGAAGGGGTGTTGGATTTTGTCAAATGCTTTTTCTGCATCAATTGATATTATGTGATTTTTATCTCCCAATTTATTTATGTGATGTATCACGTTTATTGATTTGCAGATATTGTACCATCATTGCATCCCTGGGATAAATACTACTTGGTCATGGTGTATGATCTTTCTGATGTATTGCTGTATCCAATTTGCTAGAATTTTGTTGAGGATTTTGGCATCTATGTTCATGAGGGATATTGGCTTGTAATGCTCTTTCATTGTGTTATCTTTATCTGGTTTTGGTATTAAGGTGATGCTGGCTTCATAGAATGAGCTTGGAAATGTTCCTTCCTCTTGAATTTCTTGGAATAGTCTGAAGTGGATAGGTTTTAGTTCTTCCTTGAATGTTTGGTATAACTCCCCTGTGAAGCCATCTGGCCCCGGACTTTTGTTTGCTGGGAGCTTTTTGATGACTGCTTCAATTTCTTCCATAATTATCAGCCTATTGAGATTTTTAGAATCTTCCCAATTGAGTTTTGGAAGGTTGTATTTTTCTAGGAATATGTCCATTTCCTCCAGGTTGTCTAGTTTGTTGGAGTAGAGTTGTTCAAAGTATTTTTTAATAATCCTTTGTATTTTTGTGGGGTCTGTTGTTGTTTCACCTCTCTCATTTCTGATTTTGTTTGAGTCATCTCTTGTTGCTTTTTGGTGAACCTGGCTAGAGGTTCATCAATCTTGTTTATCCTATCAAAGAACCAGCTCTTGTTTCATTGATTTTTGTATTATCTTTTTGGTCTTTATGTCATTTATTTCTACTCTGATCTTCATTATCTCCTTCCTTCTGCTCACTCTAGGCTTTTCTTGTTGCGCTCTTTCTAATTCTTTGAGTTGTAGAATTAGAGATTTACTACCATTTTTTCTTATTTTTTTGAGGTAGGCCTAAAGAGCTATAAACTTCCCTCTCAGGACTGCTTTCATTGTGTCCCATAGATTTTGGATTGTTGTGTTTTTGTTGTCATTCGTTTCCAGAATACTTTTATTTTTTTCTTTGATCTCTTTGGTAACCCAGTCATTATTATTTTTTTTTAATATATTTTATTATTGATTTTTTACAGAGAGGAAGGGAGAGAGATAGAGAGCTAGAAACGTCGATGAGAGAGAAACATCAACCAGCTGCCTTCTGCACATCCCCTACCGGGGATGTGCCGGCAACCAATGTACATGCCCTTGACAGAATCGAACTCGGGACCTTTCAGTCCACAGACCGACGCTCTACCACTGAGCCAAACCGGCTTCGGCCCAGTCATTATTTAATAGCATGCTATTCAGCTTCCAAGTGTTTGAGATTTTTAGATTATTTTTATTGTAGTTTATTTCTAATTTTATGGCATTGTGGTCTGACAAGACGCTTGGTATAATTTCAATCTTCTTGAATTTGACAAGACTTTGCTTGTGACCCAATATGTGGTCTATTTTTTAAAATGTCCCATGTGCACTTGAGAAGAACGTATATTCCATAGCTTTGGGGTGAAATGTTCTGAAGATGTCAGTTAAGTCCATCTGATCTAGTAGATCATTTAGAATTGCTGTGTCTTTGCTGATTTTTTGTCTAGAGGATTTATCTAGTGATGTCAGTGGTGTATTAAAGTCCTCTACTATGATTGTATTATTGTCAATCTCTCCTTTGATATCTTCCAGGAGTTCTGTTATGTATTTGGATGCTCCTGCATTTGGTGCATATATGTTTATCAGGATTATATCCTCTTGTTGTATTGATCCCTTTAGTATTATGAAGTGGCTTTCCTTATCTCTTGTTATGGCATTCACTTTGAGGTCTATTTTGTCAGATATAAGTATTGCTACCCCAGCTTTTTTTTCAATTCCATTTGCCTGAAAGATATTTTTCAATTCCTTCACTTTCAATCTGTGTGAATCCCTTGTTCTGAAGCAGGTCTCTTGTAGACACATATATATGGGTCATGTTCTTTTATCCATTCAGCCACTTGATATCTTTTGACTTGAGCACTTAGTCCATTTACATTTAAAGTTATTATTGAAAGGTACTTGTTTGTAGTCATATCTATTTTTGTGTCTGTTTATTTCTTCTTTTTACAGTATTCCCTTTAGCATTTCTTGCATTGCTGGTTTGGTGGTGATAAACTCCCTTAGCCTTTTTTTTTTTGTCCTGATTTCCCCTTCAATTTTAATTGACAGTTTTGCTGGATAGAGTATTCTTGGATTCATTCCTTTTGCTTTGCAACACTTTGTCTACCCCCTTCCATTCCCTTCTAGTTTGCTGTGTTTCTGTTGAGAAATCATTTGATAATCTGATGGGAGTTCCTTTGTAGGTAACGCTCTGTCTCTCTCTTGCCACCTTTAAGATTATCTCTTTGTTATTATTTGCCACTGAAATTATGACCTATCTTGGTGTATGTCTTTTGGGTTCATCCTACTTGGGACTCTCTGTACATTTGTAACTTTTTTCTTCCCCATATCCGGGAAGTTTTCTGTCCTTATTTCTTCAAATAGATTTTCTAACCCTTGCTGCTCCTATTGTGTTTCTGGCAGACCTATTATACTTATGTTGCTTCCTTTCATATTTTCCCAAAGCTCCCTGAGGCTTTCCTCCTGCTTTTTAATTTTTTTCTCCAATTGCTGTTCAGCTTGAGCTTGTTTCTGTACCTGGTCTTCTAACTCACTAATTCTGTCCTCTGCTTCTTCTAGTCTACTATTGAAACTTTTCATTGTGTTTTTTATTGTAGCTATATTACTTTTCATTCCTTCCTGATTCTTGCATAGGTTGTGGATTTTCTCATCCATCCGATGTATAAATTCCACAACCATTACTCTGAATTTTTTTTCAGTCATGTTGCATGCTTCAATTTCACTAATTTCCTTTCTTGGCGACTCCTCATTTTCTTTCCTCTGGAGATTGTGTTGTCTCCATATTCTGACTATAACCAGAAGGTTCAAACTTCAACTTGTGTGGTCTTGGATCATGTGCTGTGAAAACTTCGCACCACCTGAGTGTCACTGAAGTGCTCCAACACTAGAACATGTGGCTGCCATGGGTTGGTGGGAACCAGGCTTGCCCAGGGTCAGTGTTACCAGTGTTCAGTGTGGTCTTATGTGTGTACCTAGAAAAAGGGATCCTGCCTGCACTGCACTGTTGGTGTGTGCCAAAAATGAGTCCCCTAGTATGTGCCAGGAGTCAGTGTTTCCCTGTGTTTGTACCAAGAATCACATATTAGAGTCTCTGTTGCCTTGTGCGGATTCTCTCTGAGAATCAGAGTACCCGTGTGTGCATGCACCAAGAATTGGAATCACTGGCTCTTAGTGTGAGTGTGCTGTATGTCAGGGATCCCAGGCACACACAGTAAGAAACAAAGTCAAGTCAGTGGTGCTCAGTTCTGCCTTTTGCTGGGAGAATCTGGGTCCCCTGGAGGACTGGGTTGCACAATAGCTCTGTGGCATGCCTGCGCTGCAGAAAACATAGTTCTGTGTGCTATGGAAAAGACTTCCGTATGTGCTTGCCCAGAACTGAAGTCAGGTGACACTGCTGCCCTGTGTGGGCTTCGGGTCTGGTTGCCCAATTGCATTGTGGGGAGCAGATTTCAGTCTCTTAACTTGCAGTAGCAGTAACACTGGGGCGAATGCTCTCAAGCAAGGGGCAGCTCTATCAGTTACTATGGTGCTATCCACTAGCCTGTGGGGAAGGGGATAGGCTCTTTGACTCACAGAAATCTGCGACCAGGAAGTTGGGATTCTTGTTGTCTGTTAATCTGGAGCTATGGTTGCAGTTCTCTGTCCCCAGTGGCTGCAGGGTTCTGGTTTGCATCTGAGATGTGACTGGGTTTTGCTCAGGGCAGGATCCTAGTCTTAAGCAGCTCTGTTTCTCAAGATGGCGTGGTCTCTGTATTCACACTGGCTGCCCATAAGTGTCTGCTTTGTACGCAAGGCTCCGCCATCTAAGACTGCCCAGTTTGGCAGCCCCTTGGAGGACCTGCAGAATCTAACTGTCCCCAGCTCATACATACACACACCACAAACATCTACACTTTCCTCTATGGCTTCCTCACTCTCTCATACCCTCTCCCTCCCTACCTTCCGCCAGTCACCATCTTCCTTCTCTTACTCAGTCACTTTAGAAAAACTAACATAAAAGCACATGTGTATGATAGCGAGCACACGGAACATCCAAGTGGTTGAAACTTTTGCAACAGAAATGAAATGAGAACAGCATTTACCTTGGTTTTGGCGTTGACATTGGCTCCATGCTTCAAAAGGAAGTTAACCATTTTCACATTTCCATAGTGAGAGGCCACAATTAAAGGAGTATAACCGAGCTGTAATAACAATAACAAGCAAATGACCACTCACTAATTACATCTTGGGGGTCGAGGGAGGACAGAGTTTCAGTCTCAGCAGGACATTCTACCTGACTGTAAAGATATTGCTTAGTGGATGTGAGACACTCAATCTGATTGTACAAATATGACTTAGTGGGCGTGAGACATTCTATCCGACTGTACAGCTATTACTTAGTGATGTGACACACTCTATCCTACTGTACAACTATTACTTAGTGATGTGACACACTCTATCCGACTGTACAACTATTAGCGGGTGATATTAGCGGGTGTGACACACTCTATCCGACTGTACAGCTATTACTTAGCGGGTGTGACACACTCTGATTGAATAGATATTACTTAGGTGTGCATCCTGTGGACACAAACACGAGGAGCTGGTTGGGAACATAGGACTTCACACCAACATAGGAGACTAGGCATGTGTGTGACTTAACCTGAAAAAGAGCTAAGACAGGGGCACAGATGGTGGGATCTGAAAATAGGTAGATGAGACCAGAGAAGGCCCGGCAGGGATGCGGGAAAATGCAGCAGAGGTGGAATGAGGGGTTCGTGGCAAAGAGAGGGTAAAGCCACATCAGCCAAGGGCATGGAGGAAGTGGGTACAGGACAACAGCAGGTCACCGCCTGGCTGAGCAGCAGGGAGTTGGCAGCGTGGGTGCAACACTGGGATCAGCACTGGCATCTCTGCTCCTCTCTCCATTCAGACTTGGTTCTGGGAGCAGGAGGCTGATCACAATGTGTGAACAGGACAGACTTGTGAGGAGGGGGGGCAGGGACTTGGATGTCCCAAGGGGGTGGCTGGGAGTCACCCAGGGCAGGACCCACCAAAACAGTGACAGGAGCCTTGTACCTTCGTGTGGGCATCCTGGTCTGCCCCGTGCCTGACGAGAATGTCAGCAACATTCACTTTGTCCTCCTGGGCTGCGAGGTGCAAGGCTGTGAGTCCACTCTGCAGAGAATAGAAGCAGAGGGTACAGTGGAGATGTGATCGTCTGCAATATCCCATCTTGAAAAAAAGTCCTGTAATTACAGCTTCTCCCTGGAAACCACATCTTTTGAAATTGAAGACAAACCCCCTAAGTTACGGTGACTTTACACCCAAGGAAGGTCCTCTGCTCGCCAACACTGTCAGCCAATCGTTTTCTACGTTAGGCACTTACATCATGACCCACGACATTAAAATAATCAGTGAAGATGCTCCTGACAACACTCCCTTCAACCCCATCTATGCCTCCAGCTGAGTATTTACTCACTTAAATAACTGACCCACCAACCACTACTTCTGCTTTATAAGCACTGCACCAGTCAGCCTTTCCATCAATAAAACATCATAGGTGCACAGAATGAGCTCAGCACGGTTTCCTCCAGCACCCAAAGGCAGGGCACTGCTGTCTAGGGTCCTCTAGGTGCTAAATAAGAAGTCGCCCCATTGTTTATACACAGCATCATCCATTGGCCAGTTTTACATAAATACCTCGCACGTGAGCACCCGAGATGGCTTTAATTAACTGGGTATGCCAGTAAGAACAGTTCCAGTAACTGTTCAGAACCAGTAAGAAACAGGCTCAGGGATGGGAGGGGAGAGGCTCATTCGGTCTCTGCCACAATCTGGCAGCCTCAACATGGGGGTAAGTAGCTCCCATCAAGAAGATAGAAATTTAAAGAACACTTTTTTTTTTTCCCCCAGAGAAAGAGAGAGCTAGAACCATCAATAATGAGAATCACTGATCAGCTGCCTCTGCACACCCCACACTGAGGACTGAGCCCACCTACCAGGCATGTGCCCCGACTGGGAATTGAATCATGACCTCCTGGTTCATAGCTCAATGCTCAACCACTGAGCCATACGGTGGGCTAAAGAGCATCTTTAAAACCTGAATCACTAGTCTGTGTCACAGTGTTTATTAGTACCATTCAAATGGCAGGAAGTTTTCTTGGCACTTGAGCATATCAGTGGGCAGCTTCTGCCCATAGCGTCCTGTTCAGCACAGTCTATCTGCTCCATCTGTTTCTCTCCCGATAAGACCAAAGCAGCGGGATCATCCTGGAGCCAGCAGCCCCCGCCCAGTGCACACCAGTTAAAATCAGCAGGCCTGTCTCTACTGCCAGGTGAGGCTAAGGCAGCTAAGACATGTCTCCAAAATCTGTGGTCTCCAGCCATGGGCTCCTCAGGAACCAATATGCAGAGAGAACACCTTCCTCTGGCTTGATAGCGAACAGGCCTGTATTTAAGGGCTGGGCTTGTTCATTTGTTATTACATGGGAATTGGACAAGGAATATCGTGTCAATGCTGTATTATGGTTACTCCTGAAAATACGAACTTACTGGTTTCAGCTGGTCTTACACAGAAACAGAAGCTGAGTGCTCTTCTGAAGCAGTAGGACAATTTGGCATTGGTTTTGCTTATTACCTAAGATCTTTTTCAGTTGAAGCTGGCATCAGTGGACTAGACACACGTGAAGATAGGCACATGGATAGCAGGGAGCTCACGAATAGATGTAGGGGAAAACACGTGCGTGTAAAGTTGGCATGTTTGTATACTGAATGGTGTCTTTTCCAACTCTCATTCTATTGTTATTGTTAATCGTCACCTGAAGATACTTCCCAACTGATTTTTAGAGAGTGGAGGGAAACACACACAGAGAGAAATATCGACTGGCTGCTTCCCACACTTGCCCTGACCAAGGTGGGGATTGAGTCTGAAACCAAGGTTTGTGTCCTTGACTGGAATTGAAGCTGGGACCATTCAGTTCACAGGCCAACACTATACATTCAGCCACACCGGCTAGGGCCTGACTCTTACTCTATTGCAGTTACTATGTGTGTCCACAGGCCATTCTCTGGGAAAGGCTGAAACGACTGGGGTGCTTTATTATAGACACTGATTCCCTGACACACTCCCCTCCCCCCCGCCAGGCAAAGTGGGCTCAGAACCTGCATTCCACTGTGTCCCTGCCACCATGCATAGAAGCTTCTGAGGCTCAGCAGCTGGAGAGTGACATAGGCAGTGGGCATGAACCAGCTGGCAGACAGTCCCAGATGGCGCTGCCACCTTTCTCTGGGCTCTGGAATTAGGGCTCCAGGCAGGACAGAGCGTGAACTGATGGCCTGAACCCAGGTCCACTGGGAGTGACAGCACAGTCTCAGAGGGACGGAAGTGTAACGGACTCACAAGGAAAGGTAGGATGTGAGGATGCACCATGTCTGTGCACCTGTCCTGGCTCCGTGGTTTCCTGGCCCCATGGGCCAGTCCTCAGATCCTAACAGGCCCGCCTCCCTTACAACCCTTCATTCTGCCCACATCCGCACAGACAGCTTCTCCTTACACTCATCCTAAAGGCTCATGACCAAAACCAGAGACAAAGTGGAATACCTTGGTCGACGTGTGGACATTGGCCCCTTTGTCCAGGAGTGAGGTGACCATGTCCGCATGCCCCTCCTGGGAGGCCAGGTGCAGCGGGGTCACACCCTGCTTGGTCACGACATTCGTCTCGGCCCCATAGCTGAGGAGCGAGGATGCGATTTGCATCTGGTTCTTCTTGGCAGCAATATGCAGGGGAGTGTAGCCATTCTGCAAAGTAAGAGGAAACAGAGGGAGAGCTTAGCAGCTGCCCGGATGGATGCCCGTCTCTGGAGGCTGTCGACAGAAAAGCTAAAAGCCAGTGCATGGTACATGGCAAGTCCCCACCCACAACACTGGAGCCTCTAAGGCAGTGTCACAGGGCACCGCAGGATAGTTAGAGGGACATGGAACCCAAACTCCAAATCCACCCTTTGAGCAACGGTCCCTCCTGAAAAGCAGTCTGAGGTGGGCCCGTGCCCTGTGCACGCCCCACCCTAACACCCGAGGGTCCCAGGGCTCCCCTGATCTTCTCTCCCCAGGCCAGCCCTCCCCCACCCTCAGCCTCCCAGGCAGAACCCAGTTTCTGAGCCTCTGCACTGGGGGCTGTCCTGGACCAGCTGGCCAGGCTGCCCTTGAACTTGCTCTGGAACGGAGCACCAATGGTGCTCGCTGTGTTACCCCCAGAATCACGTGAGGTTCCTTCAGGGTCTTGTTCGGACCTCCCGCTGACGTGCATTTGCACTCTCCCTCACTCACAAGGACTGGCTGGCCACTCCACCCCAGGGCTCCAACCCCGCCCAGGCCCGGGGTCCCACAGCCCGCTCCTCACCTTGGCAGTGGCGTGAGGGGACGCACCTCTCTCCAGCAGCAGCACGGCCACCTCCTGGTGGTCATAGTGGGCGGCGACGTGCAGCGGGGTCAGGCCGTTCTGCAAGGGCGGGGTGGGCTCCTGGTGAGTGAGTGTCCAGGGGCGTGGGCGCCGGGGCAAGCCCATGTGCATTAGTGAACAGTGGAGCAGGAGGAGGGGCCGCAGCGAGCAGCTGCCTAAGGGCTACCCTGCAGGGACTCGTCCGCTGGGAAGGCCGTGCTGCAGGGGCAGGAACCCGCTGGAACCACTAGGGCGCGGCGTGGCCAGGTGGGCTCCCCTGAGTGAGGACACGCTTGGGCCGAGTGAGAGGAAGGGGTGGGCCGTCCCCCCGCCCGCCGCGCTGGGCGTACCTTCCCCGCGGCGTCGGCCGCCACCCGCCGGTGCAGCAGCAGCTTGGCCACGTCCAGGCTGCCATACTTGGCGGCCACGTGCAGCGGGGTGAAGCCTTTCTGGAAGGGACAGGAGGAGAGGCGCTCATCTTCCTGGCCACGGCAATGCCTTTCGCTCTTGACGTCCGGAGCGAACGCTGGCCCAGGAGACCCGCCGCAGCCACAGGGCGACGCAGAGGCACGGACAGAGGGATGGGACTGTGGGAGCGGGAGCCGCAGAGGGACCGTGGGGGGCGGCGGGAGGGGAGGGGCGGAAGGGCCCCTCGTGAGCGCCACAGGGCTGACTTGGGTGGGAAAAGGCTGTCTTTTCCTCCCTCTGACATCAGTGGAGGCCGGTGTGGCCCAGGGGTTGAGCATGGACCTAGGAACCAGGAGGTCACGGTTCCATCCGGGGGCGGGGGGGGGGGGGCACCCGGGTTGCAGCTCGGTCCCCAGAGAGAGGCAGCAGGAGGAGCCAATCCATGATTCGCTCTCCCTCCCCTTCCTCTCTGAAATCAGTAAAGTATATTAAAGAAGTAAACAGCGGGCTGAGACAACAGCAGCTCTCTCCAACGCTGTTCTTTTTCTAAGACCCGAATTCCAAATCTCCTCCTCTCAATTTTAGGGTACTCCCATGACCATGGTGAGAAAAATTTTTTGGTAATTCCATTGAATTGTATTTCCTGCAGAAATAGCAAGATAAATGGCCGATAGAACAAAGTGCTCATGGTTAGAAGCACTGCCGTCCGACTGTCCCCCTCTCCCCGGGAGCCCCCAAACCGTGAATCTCCTCTGGGGGGATCCGCCCCGGGCACCAGCTCCCCGTCCCCAGCGCCACCTGATCCCTGGGTCCCTGGCTGAGAGCGCAAGTCACAGGGTCCCACCGCGACCTCCGCGCCATCGTCGTGGCCAAAACATGTCGCCACAGGGCGGCCTGCACAGTCCACGGCAATGCACCTGGCCCGCGGCGACGGTGCGCCTCCCCCACGCTGCACGCCCCCCACGCTGCACGGCCCCTCACGGAGCACGTCCCCTCACGCAGCACGTCCCCCACGCAGCATGTTCCCTCACGCTGCACGGCCCTTCACGGAGCACGTCCCCTCACGGAGCACGTCCCCTCACGCAGCACGTCCCCTCACGGAGCACGTCCCCTCACGCAGCACGTCCCCTCACGCAGCACGTCCCCCACGCTGCACGCCCCCCACGCTGCACGGCCCCTCACGGAGCACGTCCCCTCACGCAGCACGGCCCCTCACGGAGCACGTCCCCTCACGCATCACGGCCCCTCACGCAGCACGTCCCCTAACGCAGCACGTCCCCTCACGGAGCACGTCCCCTCACGCAGCACGCCCCCCACGCAGCACGCCCCTCACGCTGCACGCCCCTCACGGAGCACGTCCCCTCACGCAGCACGCCCCCCACGCAGCACGCCCCTCACGCTGCACGCCCCTCACGGAGCACGTCCCCTCACGCAGCACGCCCCCCACACAGCACGCCCCTCACGCTGCACGCTCCCCACGCTGCACGGCCCCTCACGGAGCACGCCTCCCACGCAGCACTTCTGCTTTCAGGTCACCGCTCCCGCTTTTCCAAGGAGGGGCCGTGCTCCTCGCTGCTCTTTGAATCCGTGGCGTTAGCGCCTTGGGGCGTGAACCTGCTTTCCAGGGGCACACGTGGGAGGTTCCTGTTCCTGCCCGAGGACTCCCCAACACTCCCCACACCCCCGGCCCGAGGCCTCAGAGCAGCTTGGAGGCAGGCCTCGCTCCTCACTCGGTGGTCTCACACCCGGGGGAGGGCCCGCACGGAGGGGGGGGACACGCATGGGGGGGGGTCATGCATCCAGGGGAACACACAGGGAGATCACGCACCCGGGGGGGGCACGCACGGGGGGGATCACATCACCGGGGGACACGCACGGGGGGGATCACGCACTGGGAGGGCACGCACGGGGGGGGGCACGCATGACGGGGGCACGCGTGGGGGGCACGCAAGGGGAGGATCACGCACGCACGGGGGGGACGCACAGGAGGGCCAAGCACGGGCACGCAGCGGGGGGGGGCGGCTGGAAGGGCACCGCGGCGGCAACTGGGAACTGAGCGGACAGACTGAGCGGACAGAAGGGGGCAGACCGCCCTGCCTCACGCGGGAGCTGGAGGCGCCCGGGAGGCCGGACCCGCAGGGCCACCTCCTCTGAGCCCGGCCCGCGCTGCGCAGGCTGAGCGCGCCTCCCCGCCTCCCTGGCCTGTCCCCCCATCGCCTCCCCTGGCGGCGCCACCAGCCTGGCATCGTTACGTGATCATGCACAGGTGGTGGTTCCTGTCAGTGTATGTTGCTTAGTCTCTGCTTTAATAATTTTTTGGAAAGCACTTTCAACTCCGGGTTTGAAGAAGCGGCCATTCCTTCCGCAGCGGGAGGGCTGCTCTGGGCTCCGCAGGCGCCCCCTGCACGCCCTCCGCCCCCGGCAGCGCCGGCGCCCATGGGTGCCAACACGACCAGGTGGGCCTGTCTCTTAGCCTCACCTCCGCACTCGTGGGCGCTCTCCACTGCAGACAGCGCCCTCCGTGGGCGGCCCCTGCCCGTCCCCACGCCTCCGCATCAGGCTCCAAGGAGCGGCCACTCCGCTTTCCTCCTGAGTCACTTCCAAGCCGGAACTCCCCCCCACGTACCGGAGACACTGCTCTGCCAGCACTGTACTCCTGCACCATCTCCCTAGGGGCTCCGCCGGTGGGGGCGGGCCTGAGACACGGCTCCAGCCGGTGCAGCGGCTCAGCACAGGCACAGGAGTGGGCAGAGGCTGAGGCCAGCGCAAGGCGCAGTGACCTGAGCGTCAGGTGACACCAAACCTCAGCCAACACGGGTTTGCCAGCCTGACGCTGCCGTCACTTCCCGGCGAGTTACACTAGCTCCGTGCATTTGGGGGTCTCGTTCTTCTGCTCTTGAGAACACAGCATAGATTTGATCATGGGAAAGGAGGGAAGGTACCCGGGCTCACGAAACCTTCTTAGTTCACTTCCCAGGTGGCTGCGCTGGAAACAGAAGGTGGAATCTCTCCCTACTGCAGAAATGGCACGACCCTCCCATCGTCCAGGAAATGGCTCTCAACACACGCAAAGAGCAAGAGACCGACCCTCTGGGCAATGACTCCCTGGGCAGTGTCCATGGCAGAGAAGAGGGACCCGGTGGGTTCCTGCCATCACAGCATCCCTTACCTTGGTAGCTAAGGAGTGGGCAGCCCCTGCCTCCAGGAGGACGGAGGCCACGTCCACCTGGCCTTCCCGGGCAGAGATGTGCAGGGGCGTGTACCCGTTCGTGGTGGCCGCGTCCGGGTGCGCCATGTGCTGGAGCAGCAGCTGCACGATCTCCGTCTTGCCCAGGCGCGAAGCGATGTGCAGAGGCGTCTGTTCCTCCTGCAACCCAAGGCAGGTCAGAGGTCAGTGCCCAGGCAGCCCAATGCCACCTGTTCCTCCTATAACTCAAGGCAGGTCAGAGGTCAGTGCCTGGGCAGCCTTAATGCCTCCACTGTCATTTACATCATGGTTTCCTTTTTCTGGGAGCCCCTAGGCAGAAGGAAATTACTACTACCCTGACCGCAGTTGTTCCTTATTTTCCTACAGAGGTGACCTGTTTGATCACAGAATGTTCCTTAGATTTTATTGCTAGAGGGAAGGGGATATAGAAGAGGGTGCAGAGGGTAAATGGTGAGAGAAGGGGACTGGACTTGGTGTGGTGAGCACACAGTACAATATACAGATGTCTGTCTCATAGAACTGTACACCAGAAACGTGTAATGTTGTTCATCAATGTCCTCCATAAATTCAACAAAATGAGTAGGTTAATTGGTTAATTAGTTAAAGTATGTACTTCAGTCATCTTGGCCGTGAGTGTCTGAGCACACCAACAGGCCAAATTCAGCCTCATTCAAATTTAAATAGAAACCAACTCGTGGTTCTGAATAAGAAAAAAATCTCACCCAGAAGCCCTAAGACCTAGATTCCCATCGGAAGATTTCACGAGGCGAAGTGCTGATTGCCTGGGAACCAGGTCAAGAGAGAAAGCCGAGGGATGCTGGGAAACTGGCTCTCCCTCTGCATGGTAAGCCAAGGACACACAAGGTCCTGGCTTCAAGGAGAGGCTGATAGAGGGGGCATTGTAAGCTGGTCTTTGGGAGCTCAGCAGGAAGGAAATGGGCTGATGTGAGCCAAATGCTCCCCCAGGAAGCCAGGGACAGAGCTGGTGTAAGGACGCAGGACACACTGAGGAGGCTGGGGAAACCCCTGACTCTTAAGGTGTGGTCAGAGAAATAGGTTCAGGGTTAAGAGAATCAGACCAAACTGTTCTCTTATAAAAAGAAAGGGCGGGCAGCCTCAGTGAAGGCACGAGGTCTGGTACACTAGCCAAGGGCATGTCAGTAAAGAGGAGGGAGGAGCAGAGGACACACGGAGAGACGAATCAGAGCTCACAGGATGCAGCCCCTTGCAGCCGTATAGGCAGACAGGAGACAGCACTGTGTGGACCTCAGGGTGGTGAGAGGTGGGCAGAATGGGCATTTCATGGAACTGTGCCCTCAATGAACTTCTCCCTGTCCTATCCTTAAAGCTTTCCGAGAGGAAGCACAGCATCTACCGTGTTTCCCCGAAAATAAGACATCCTCCAAAAATAAGATCTACTTACAGGTTTCCTTCTGAGTGAAATATAAGGCATCCCCTGAAAATAAGGCACCCCTAGGCTAAACATGAGAGATTTGGTCCACTGATTCTGAAAGAAATGGAGTCACAAGAAATTCACCAGGGAATTCAGGAATTGGATTGTTAGGATGATGTTCCAGAAGATGATGACATGATTGTCATTGAATAAATGAGTAAATTCTTAATAGTGTAGGATTCACAGTTTGTCTGGGTTGTGTTGACAACTACCATACTACCGTACCGTATACAGGTAATAAATTTCCTTTATTTTCATTTAACAATAAATGTGTACTGTATTCTTCTTCATGGAAATAAGACCCTGAAAATAAGACCTAGCGCATCTTTGGGAGCAAAAATTAATATAAGACACTGTCTTATTTTCGGGGAAACAGGGTACTATCCGACCATTTTCCAGAGGACCAGGCTAAGAGGAATTAAATGAGTCTCCAAAATTACCCACGATCCCTGAGCTACTAACCAGGACAGACAGACATAAATGCTACAGTATTTCCAAGGAAAGAACCCATGGCCAGTGGTTTTGAGGAAGGATTTCAGATGTTACCAAAAAGGCAATAACAACAGGTTAAGTACTAAAAAAAAATGGCATAGATACAGAAAAAGAGCAAATATCTATTAAAAGTAGAACGCTTTAAATTTTTAATATAGAAAAATATGAGTTTTTATTTTGAGAGATAATGGAAAACCTTGTTATATATATATATAAAGCCAGTGACCGTAATGGCCATAATGACCATAGGGAACGGTCACTATGACACACACTCTGTCCAACGAACCAGCCAATCAGGAGGTGGGGCCAGCCAGCCAACCTTGTGGCCCCTTTCCCCTGCTAGCCTGCCCCTGATTCGACTCTTCCACCCTGATCAAGAGTGGGCACTGGCCAAACACTTCCTCCCCTCCAGCCAGCTCCGCCCCCGGTCAGCCTGTCCCACCAGGATAGGCCTGCAGCCCCTCCCGCTGGCTGGCCATGCCCGCATGGGCCCTCACCACTCTGATTAGCCCCAGCCCTCCTCCCCTGGCCTGCCTCACCTCTGACTGCCAAGTCAATGTCAAGAAGGATCACTGCAGTATTGGAGGCAAAGGTGGCCCAACAAAGTACGGTGGGGTGGTCATAATAATCTGGCCAGTCAGTGTGTGTGTTTTCTTTAAAAGAGAGAACGTGATTAAATGTTCCCTGGGAACCTCAGAGACCCTGGTGTGACAGTGAGCAGGACAGCACAGAAGAGAGAGGAACAAACACTGCTGATGAGGCCAGTGTAAGGAAGAAGGTGAGGCAGCAGCAATCGGAAGGAAGTTTAAGGAAGGGACATCAGCCTGGCGAGGGATGGGGACTAGGAACAATGAGAAACAGGAAAATCCAAAAAAACAGTGTCTGCTCCCAGGTTCTTCTATTGCTGCCGGTGGAGGGAAGACAGAGGAGGAAAGCCAGAGTAAGGAGGGGTGACCTCATCACGGGGAGCACAGCTCCCTGGAGTATAACCTGTTTCTAAGTCACAGGGAGGCCCGTCTGTGGACCTTCACTTTGGTGTGAAGAGATGTGTGCTTACCTCCACAGCAGCAGGTCCTGAATGCGTGGAAACAAGCAGGTGTGTGTGCAGGGGCTCTCACAGGGAACGTTATGCACATGCTAATGGGGCTGCGTTTCTTAGACACTGGACTGCACGTTTCCCCAAGTGCTAACGCTTGAAACGGGGGCATACCACTGCCCGCATTGCTGCGTGCTTCCTTCTGGCCCGATGCGCAGGTCCTGGGGCGTGCCCCCTGCACCTCAGAGGGAGGGGCCGGGTCCAGCGCCTACCCTGGGAGGGGCCGTGAGGAAGGGGCCCAGCCCCAGCACCTACCCGGGCTCTGGCGTCGACGAGGGCACCGTTGCGCAGCAGGCATCGCACCACCTCCACTTGGCCTGCCCGGGCCGCCATGTGCAGCGCGGTCTCCCCACGCTGTCAAGACAAGACGTCAGAGTCAGCGAGCCCACGCTCAGACGGCAGAGAATGAACGTGCCTTTCTGTGACACTCAGCGATGACCGAGATTTAGGACATCTATGAAAGGGCACAACCATTCCCCGTTACTCAGTCTGGTAGCACGGCTTTTGTCTTCCCCCTCTCCATGTGGACAAAGCAACTCCTTTGCTCTTTCAGTCATAATGAGCCAACGAACTTACCCAGCAGCCCAGGACGCCCAGGGGCTGAGTGTTGTAAGCAACCTGGCAGGACTTAAATCTGTGATGGGACATTGCTTTCCTTCAACCTCAAACCCGTCAGGATCACACTCCACTGTGACACGCACGTGGCCGCGTCTTAATGAGAGAAAGCCCCGATGCAGGGCGAGGCAGCACTCCAACCATCACTCCATCAGCACCATGCGAGCATCCTCCTTCCCAGAGTTCAAAGTTAATATCCGAAATAAACTATTAATCTCACCTGATGGGGTTAGGAGACTAAACAGTGACTGTGTGTACCAAATCCGACCTACCAGGAGGTCCCCTGCCTCTCAGTAATGAGCCATTTAATGACAGCAGTCACTGGAGAAAGCTGCTGGGGTGGCAGAGCCATCTGTGGGTGGGTAGGGCTGGGCTGGGCACGGGCCTCACACATCCTGAGCCCATGGACTGCCACACTCATCAAATGGCAGCTTAGAGGTTGGAGAGTTTTCTCCCTGGGAAACCTGTTCATTACTGACTAAAACAAGATCTTGCCTCTTTTTAAAGAGCATATTTTAAAACCACCTGCAGCTCTGAACACGACAAACTTTCAGCCAAAAAGTTAAAACAACTTTACAGTCAAAAGAGCATGGCACTGAACGGGAAGTTAGCACCGAGTCACCAGGCCTAGAAATAAGGCTGATGTAACCATGGGAAGGGAGCCACTCCAAGTAACTAAGCCGATCTCAAGGTGGGTCATGGTGAGGGCAGTTGGACAAATCCGAGGAGTGCTTTCTTCTCATTCCTTGCACAGGAAACCCTACAACCTAGAGGATTTAAGGCAAACTTTAGATTCTATTCCCAGTAATTGGAGACTCTGTTCCTTATAAAGTTGTGGGAATTCATTTCAAATGAGTTGTCTTTGAAAGCATTAAACTGGATGTCTAATGTTTTGTTTTGTGAATGGCTCACTGGCCCTCCAATGCCCTCATGCTGGGCTGTGGAGAGGAAGTGCCCGGAGCATCCTGGTTTATAGGTGATGTGCTAGACAGCAGCACTGACTTTGGGCTTTGGGTGTGCGGTGAGACCTTTCCTCAGCCATCATTTCTCACTGTTTTCTATGTCACTCAAGCCTGTCTCTCAACAGATGAAGCTGAGTTCTCCTAACTGTTAAACACAGACACACACCTCCCATCTTCATCCTATTTCTAGGTCAGATAAAAGCACACCCTTTCACTAAAGACAAAATTGGTAGACGTAGGGAAAAGTTGGATTTCTTTGACAGAAGTTAAGCCAGAGAGGTCTCCTGAGCACCAGCTCAACAACGAGTGTTATGTTCACTTCGCTCGTCAGTTTACGGACAAGACGGAAAATGCTAGTCTTACTCTTTTCAATATCCTCATCTTATACTAAAAGAAAGGGCCTATATGTGTTTACACACTTGAACCTCCTATAGAAACTCTAAAGCATTAAATGTCAGATCCAAGACAAGCTGTCTAGGCAGACATCTGCGATCACGCCCCTGCCAACGTGGCTGTTTGATTCTTCCTTCATGGCCTTGGGGAAACCGCCTTCACTGCACATCCCCTTGCCTTTCCCAGGGACCTGCCCTTGTGTGGGCCCAGGTGTGAATGAGAAGTGAGGGGGGGTGGAGTTTAACCGTAGTTTCCATCCGCGGACTCTCGGGCACCTCGGGGTGGTCAACACGCCTGTCTTTATCTTGGGTTGATGCACTGAAAGGACTGGGGGGATTCTTCACCCGAATACACAGCGTGAGCTCAGCCAGGGGCCCACTGCTCTGCTCACAGGGCCCGTCCTCTGTGGCCTGGGCCGTGAAGCCATGTGTGTTTGTGATATTCGTGGGGGGAGGCGTGCTGAGGGATGAGTGAGGGAAAGCCGGCTACATGCAGACGGCAGCGAGGGGTGAGCTCACGGCGAGGCAGGGCTCAGCGTCTTGCCCCTCGCTGGGCGTTAAGCCGACATTCCTCACAGTGGCAGCCATCGCTGCTGCCTCGCTCGGAAGCGTCAGAGCGGACATACAGCCTGGTGTCCAACAGGGCCGCTTGGGTGGGTGGGGACCAGCCTGCACAGCAAGCGGACAGTGTCACGCAGTGACCTCACCACCAGGACCGGGGCCGTAGCTAACCCTCGGCCCCAGCGTGACGAGGCCACAGGCCGCTATGGGAGAGCCGTCCTCCTCATGCAGGCTGCTGGGCGGCCAGGAAAGGACCAGGAGGCCCGGCCAGGTTTCCCTCCCACTGAGGGACAGACAATTACTTCACACGTGTGCCTCAGACACGTGAGGGACATGCTTCACACGTGTGCCTCAGAGACAGGACATACTTCACATGTGTGCCTCAGACATGTGAGGGACATGCTTCACACGATGTGCCTCAGACATGTGAGGACATACTTCACATGGTGTACCTCAGACACGTGAGGACATACTTCACACATGTGCTCAGACACGTGAGAGACATACTTCATACGGCGTGCCTCAGACACGTGCGGGACATGCTTATATTAAAACAATGACTGGCCCTGGCTGGTGCGGCTCAGCATTGTCCCATGCACCAAAAGGTCACTGGTTAGTTCCCAGCCAGGGCACATGCACATGCCTGGGTTGCAAGCTCGCTCCCCAGTTGGGGTGCGTACAGGAGGCAGCTGATCAGTGTTTCTCTCTCTCCCTTCCTCTCCCTCACTCTCTAAAAATGTCAATAAAAACACATTTTTTTAAAAAAAAGCAATTATCTGTTATTGACCTGAAATTCAAGTCAAACCGGCAGCCCTGTATTTTACTGCAACCCTACCCACTCAGAACCTTCTCCCTGAAGAGCACGTGGCGCCCGAGTGACAAGCAGAGCCCTAGGGACCGGGCGGGCCCCGCGGCGCCTCCAGCATGTCGTTGGCGGAGCTGCAGGCGGAGGGGGAGGGACACGGAGAAGAAGGAGGCTGACGGCCTCCATACTGACCACACGTGGGAGTCAGCGTGAGGCAGCAGCCGCCGCACCGGGAGTTTGTGAGGCCTCGGCCACGGCCACGGCGTTGTGTGTTGTGTGGAGAGCTGTGTCTCCCGGCGTGTTTCTGCGGAGGAGAGCCGTGGCCGCCAGCCAGGAGCCGGGCCGGCGAAGAGGCGCGCCGTCACACGGGCATCTCAGAGGGTTTCTCTGCGGGTTTGCGAGTCTCCCCGAGATGGGCCTGCCTCGGGGGTCAGTCACAGCCACAGGTGCGCCAGCACTGCTACCATCGCCACGCGACCAGTAACAAAGCCGCCATCTCCCCATGCCCTGCGGCGGAGCGCAGGGGGCACTTCAGCACAGACACGTCACACACGAACCCGCGGGCCGTGAGGGGAAACACGAGGGGAATGAACATCGCGTCACAGTCACAGGGACAGACACCAGCACCCTCAGCGCCCCGGGCCGGCCTAAGGGCGCCAGTTCCCGGCTGAGCTGATCCCACCGCCGCTCCTCCCCCCCAGCTCCCCCCCTCAGCGCTCCCCCCACACCACTCCCCCCAACACCGCTCCCCCACTCACCGCTCCCCCCCAGTGCTCCCCGTCGCTCCTCCCCCTGCTCCCCCCCCCACTCCCCTCCACCGCCCCCCCAGCCAACCCCCCAGCGCTCCTCTGTCACTGCTCCCCCTCACCGCTCCCCCCTCACCGCTCCCCCCCAGCACTCCCCCCCAGTGCTCCCCCCTCACCGCTCCCCCTCACCGCTTCCCCCAGCGCCCCCCCTGCCGCTCCCCCGCACCGCTTCCCCTCACCGCTCCCCCTCAGCGCTCCTCCCCCACCGCTCCTCCCCCACCGCTCCCCCCTCACCGCTCCCCCTCACCTCTCCCCCCCAGCGCTCCCCCCTCACCACTCCCCCTCACTGCTCCCCCCCAGTGCTCCCCCTTCAGCGATCCCCCCTCACCACTTCCCCCCAGTGCTCCCCCTTCAGCGATCCCCCCTCACCACTTCCCCCCAGTGCTCCCCCTCAGCACTCCCCCTCAGCGCTCCCCCTCAGCACTCCCCCTCTGTGCCCATAGAGAGCGCCCTGCCTCCGCGCCCTGTGCCCGCCAAGGGGAGCGCACATGGCCACCACAGTCTCAGGGTGGCTCCAGACCAGGACCTGCCCAGAGGCTGGTGGACCGGGAGTCCCGGGGTGTGCTCCCGGCAGAGAGTGCTCTCCAGTGTGGAGAAGCTGGATGTCACTACTCGGGTCAGAGAGGGCACCTCTGCCAACACCACCAAACCCAGACCAAAGTCCAAGCGGGTGGCAGGGTGGCTACGGCGAGAGCAGCCTCACGCCAGCCCTCTGGTCAGTGCCGGGCCTGGCGGGGTCCTGACCGGGAACTCGCACCGAGATGGCCAGGGAGCCAGCGAGCCCGGGAGCTCGCCGCCCGCCACCCGGCCCGCCGAGCTCCGACAGCACAGGGCACTGCCTCCGCCCGATGCTCTGGGTCCGGCGCCCGCCCGCACACTCGCTCAGTCCTCCAGTGGCCGCCCCGCGCACCGGCTCTCCCGCAGCCAGAGCGGAGCGGCGGCCCTGCCTGCCGCATACTCACAATGTTAGTGGCGTCGGGGCAGGCGCCGTTCTGCAGCAGCAGCAGCACAATGTTGAGGTGGCCCATGAAGGCGGCCACGTGTATAGGCGTGAGGCCCGACTGCGGACAGAACACAGCGACACGACAGCAGCTTTACCCCGCTGCACCGCGCTCTCCGGGCGGCCTGTGAGGGGCAGGGCGCAGGCGGGAGTGAGGGCGTGACAAGCCGGGCATGTCTACCTCGGTGACCGCCTGGATGGAAGCCCCGTATTTCACCAGCAGCTCCATGACTTTGATGCGGTTTTTCTTGCAGGCAATGTGCAGCGGGGTAAAGCCGTTCTGTGCAAAAGACAACGGGTTAGTGGGACATGCCAACCACGCGCACACGGCATGCAGCACACGGCGTCTTTCTGCACGTCACTGTCCCGAGGGCTCTGCCCGTGGAGCGCTGGGGTGCCGGGGGCATCTGTGTGGAGGCCTGCTTGTGTGGACGCAGAAACAAGTGCCCACAATAACACGGCGACTCATCAGATGAGGGCCGGGGTCAGGAGCCGTGCCACGAGCTTCGGAGACAGGAACGTCTTTTCTGACGAAAGGCCACGCCTCAGCGTGCACACCCTTCGTCTGTTTTACTTTTAAGAACCACAAGGCCAGGACTACCTCTGCCGTCAGTGCTTCAGCTCTGCGCCACTTTCCCCAGGAGGAGGCGCCAGTGAGCAGAAAGCCTGGTTTATGCAGATCATTTTTTATCTCTGGATGTTACAGTAAAAGGTTTACAAGAAGTTATATTAGCAGAAGTTTTAAGACAGGTTCATGAAATCTACTTTATGAAGAAATTATCCTTAAATTCATGAATATTTTTAAGAAACGTATGGAGAATTTCTAGAATAATGGGAAGGAGAGATCTTCAGAGGCAAAGGAATGTGGAGATGTCTAAGGCACTTCGGAACTTTTCACACTGAGTTCGTGTGTAGGAATTGGGGGCTTTATATAACAATATGCCCGGCTGGCGTGGCTAAGTGTCAACCTATGAACCAGGAGGGCATGGTTTTATTCCCCGTCAGGGCACAGGCCTGAGTGGTGAGCTCAATCCCTAGTGTGGGGCATGCAGGAGGCAACGGATCCATGAGTCTCTCTCCCTCTCCCTCTCCCTTCCTCTCTGAAATTCTTAAAAATATATGTTAAGAAAAATACAAAAATAAAAATGTGTTCCCCAGCCCCAACTTCCTCCTGTGCGCTGCACTGGACATTATGTTTCCATGTGGCTGTGGGTCTCTGCGGTGGCCGGGTGTGTGTCCTGCAGGTGACAGTGTTTCTCCGGCCCCGGGGCTCTTGGGAGGGGGAGGTCGTGCTAACCCCGCGCCTGCTCCGCCGAGGGCGAAGGCATCCCCCACATGGGCTGTGGGCGAGCTGGACGTGAGCAGACAGCACTCACAAGACTTCAATTAAATCACAGTGTTAATGAGCTCACTGCCCACCCTCCGGAGAAATGAGCCTTTTCCTCCTGGGGAGAAAACACCTCCGCACGGCCGCACAGGACGCGGAGGGGCTACGCTCCCAGGCACGCTCTGATTCTGACCGAAGATTCCCGGACAGAAGTACCATTTCCTGTTTGATCGTCCTAAGGGCATCCTGTCATCTCCAGTACTGAGTGCAGACTGATGGGACGGACATGAGCCATGTAAACATATGGAGAAAGGTCTCCTAGCATGTGAGTTGGGACGAGACACGGTTAGTGCATGCCTTCGGCCAGCGGCTGTTAGGAGGAAGGTGGCGTGGGAAGTCACTCGGCATTAGGCCCCGGAAGATGCCAGGGGCAGGGTGGCTTCTGGGAGGTTTGTGCGTCAGGCCCCGAGCCGGCTGCCCTGGCTGGTGGCCTAGGCGGGACTGTCCGGCGAACTGTCCAGGGAGCTCCACACACGCTGCAATCACACCATCTGCCTGTCCGGCCAGCGCCCACCACAGCCTCATCCAGAAAGGAACGACTAAGGTTCAACTTGCTCACACGTTCACTCTGACCCGAGAGCGCTGTCTGAGCCACTTCACAGTCCCTCTGTGGGCTGCTGTTTTCCAGCTCCAACTGTTAGCGCTCCGCAGCCGCCCTTTCCACTGCCACTCGCTAACCGTGGACACGCTGCCCTCCTGTCCTCATCAGCCCTCCATGCCCACGGCCACGTCCCGGCGACCCCGAGGGCGGGACGGAGCCAGGTGCCGCGTGGACAGTCCGCACCCCCCACCACCCCCCGCCGGGCGCGGCGCGGTTACCAGGGCTCGGGCGTTGGGGTTGGCTCGCTTGTCCAGGAGCAGCTTGGTGACGCGGTAGTGGCCGCAGTGCGCCGCCACGTGCAGGGCCGTCAGGTAGTCCAGGGTGACGTCGTCCACGGGCGCCTTGTGCTGCAGCAGGTGCTTGACGCAGTCCACGTGGTCGCCCTGCGCCGCCATGTGCAGCGGGGACAGCCCGTTCTGTGCGGCAAAGCAAAGCAAACACGCCCTAGTCACACTCCACCGGGACACAGCAGAGTCCATCCCCCCTCTCCGGGAGAAGCGGGGTCAGAAGTCCCAGGAGACACGTAACTACAGAGCAGTGATCCGTGGCCGAGAGGAGCGGGACGGCCTCGCTCGGACCCCTGCTCTGAGCCCCCACGGTACCAGGCCCTCCTTTCTCTCCTGGGACGTGAGCTGGTGTGGCAAACGCGGTCAGGGAAGAGCTAGGAAAGGGGAGGAGATGTGGGCCAGGGGTCAACGACCTCCTAACTTCCAGATCCGAGGAAAACCTACATGTGTCATCACGGATACGGCCCAAAGCAACGTCCGCCTCACTGCTCAGGCTGACGTCAGAACACAGACGTGGTGACCGCAGCCAGTGCTCAGGTTTGGTAAGGCTCTTAGTTTCCAAAGTTAAATAAGTAAGCTCATAGGACAAAGATGTACGATTAAGAAACTAAATTAGAAAACATTTTCTCATTAAAGAGAGTGGACTGTTGCCGCTTCTTAGTAATCAGTGTACATGTTAGGAAATAGCGGTGACCACATATGCAGTTTGGCAGCGATGACGTGCACAGAAGCTGAGACCAGCACGGGCCCAGCCTACTCTCCCTGGGAAGGAGGTTGCAACATTGGGGTGACAGCTGAGAACAAATACACCCACATTTAATTTTAGGGGTTTGTGGGGTGCAGCAGTACATGTGACTTTAAATTACCAATATTTTCTTCTTTGTGAAATCTCTTTACTCATAATTATTGGTTTTGCAATTATAAATTCATAAAAGAACTAAGGACAGAAGGGCAAGTAGCTGAGGAGGGATTTATGCATAAATGTGTGGATAAAGACACTCGGGCCCTGCACGGCCTGGCCTGGGGCTGCCCATCCACTGACATTGAGTCGGTCTTAATGCTGTTTAACCCACATAATGACAAATCGGGAAGAAAATGTGCACCATTCAGCCCTTTGTTCACTTTAGAAACACGCACTGAGCGCCCCTCAAGCCTGTTCCCGTCATGGGGCACAGCAGGGCCTGGTCCACACAGGGGCGACCCTCTCGGAGGCACAGGGGTGACTCAGAAAGAAAAAGGACTTGGAGCAGGCGCCTCTACTGCCTGCCAGGTGTCACCAGGCTAGTTCACTTCCTTCCTGTTCCTTCCCCTGCCCAGAGCTCTGCCTTTTGTAATCATCTCCTTTTCTATCTTTTTACTTAATTCTGAGCTTCTTAAAGATATAGACCGCATATTACTTATCTTGATAGTTCCATATTGACTAGACACTGTCTGGCACACTGTAGCTACTCACTAGGGTAATTAGGTGATGCATGATGAATGAATGAATGAATGAGTGAATGCATGCATGCATGATGAATGAATGAGTGAATGAACAAATGAGTAAATAAATACAACTACGCAGTCACAGACACTTTGTGCTGGACCCTTACGTAAGAATGATACTTGATTTTACAAGGAGGCCACCTAGGTAATCTCGTCTTCATTAGTGATTAGTGATATGCAGTTATGGACCGACTCTGTCAATAGGATTGTTCTATAGTTTGTGGAATATTGTCAGCTGCTTATCCTCAACTTGCCAGAGGCTTTTTACTGGTTGTAACAGGGCTGGTCTAAAATTTTTTAATTTCCATTTAAATTTCAATCTCTTCCTCACGAAACTTTCCCAAGCGATCTCTGCATTACTAGAGTCGCATGTCCAAGACAGGTCCCCACGACCCCACGGTGCAGGTGTGAGGGTGAACATAACCAAGTCGCCTGCTTCTCGCTCGGCTCCTGTCTTTGACCTGAGACTACCTTCCGTGGCCTGGGGCACACCCTTAAAGGTTGAGTTCATTCCACATGTATTTCAAATGTGTGGTTTGTGCTCCAAGGAATTTGAATTCAATTAAGATACAGTACACATTGAAAAATATGTGCTTGTGTCAGCGGCCTTGTTTTTATTGCTTATCCTCGTAATGGCATGGGTTGATCCCAAGCCTGACCAGGGGCTGGGGGTGGTGAAATGGGGGAGAAGGGCAGACACATCCTTGGCCTGAGTTTCCGTTGCAGGAAGGATCTGGATGTCCCTGCACATCTATGACACAGCCGTTGGTTGTGTTGGGTTTGTCTCAGGACCGTTTCTGGTCACCCAAAGTGGGGACTTCAGTGTAATAAACCATTTACTGTACATCGAGCAGCGACAACCTCATCGCGTGTGTTACTCATAGGACAGGGCTCCCCTGTGGCGGGCAGGCTGAGGGGTGAGAGACACTGTGCTGCCGGAGAGCGTGTGCCTGGTTACGTCTGGGCTACGCCCCACGAGCCTGCGCTCCCATGCACTGCGGCCTCCACGCCACCTCTCTGCCCGGAGATGGAGACTGGGGAGCTGGACGCCCGCCTGGTGAGGCTAACTCTGCTGCTTTAAAGATCACGTTTCGTGTAACTTAGCCATCTCAGAGTTTCGTAAAAATGTGGCCTCTTAGCACATAAGATCATCTCAGATATGGACACTCTTCTCACTCACTGACAACGCGGTAATGCTCCCGTTTCCACCGGCAGGAGGAAGGGCAGGCAAAGTACAGAAAGAGCTGCGGGCTTCCTCATCTTCCTGGTGTGAGTGAATTTCAAGCAACTAAGAAGTCTGATGTGCCCCTCCTCCCCGCACAGACACTGAGGGGTAAGGATGCTCTGTCTCAGGGGCCGGCCGCGCACACTCACCTTGGTCCGGGCCAGCAGGGGCGCACCCCGCTCCAGCAGCAGCTCCACCGCCGGGTCGTGGCCGCTCCGGGCCGCGCAGTGCAGCGGCGTCAGCCCGTCCTGCAAGAAAGAGCCAGGCCAGGCCTCAGGCCCCATCCTCGCAAAGCAAGGTGCCTGAGGAGAGCACGCTGCCCGGACTGGGTTCTGGCAGCTCAGCGCGGGTAAGAGGCCAGAGAACCGCCCTAGCTTAGCCACTGGCGCACCTCCTGCTTCGAGGGAGGAGGGCCGTGTGGGGGCAGCCCTCGGGCCCTCTCCTGCCTGTTGCTGAAAATGCATGAAAACTCAGAATTCCATTTCACTGAGCAGGCTGGCGTGAACAGAGAAAGGGCACTCTCTGACGACCCGACTCCGGGCGCGGCAAGCGGCTATCTGCCCAGCACGGAGCGCGGAGCGCGCCCACCGGGCAGCTCAGCACCGGCTGCAGGACGGTGAGCGGGGACCCGCAGCGTTAGAAGCAAAAGCCACCCGACCGCACAGGGCACGTAGAACCACTCCCGCTCCAGCTCCCCAGCCAGACCTGAGGTGGGGGTCAGCCGCGACCACTGCTCCCGGGAAACTGCTGAGCAGGGCTCTGCTCTCTGGGCACTTAGGAGGAGGAGTAATTGTTCCCACAGGGACCCTGGAATATCGTCTGAGGCTTCAACAAAAGCCCGGAAAGCCATGTCCCGGAAAGCCGCGTCGTGGCGGGCCTGGGCCTGCAGTCGGGGCAAAGGCCGGACGGCGCGGACCTCGCGGTGGCAGGAAGCAGAAGGCAGACTCACCCTGGTTTTGGCGTCAATCTGACCGCCGCGGTCCAACAGGAGCTTCACCATGTTGGTGTTTCCCCGTTTGGAGGCCACGTGCAGAGGGGTGATCCCGTTCTGCATGGAGAGAGGCGGAACACAGGGTGTGGGTGCGGGAGCACGGGGTGTGGGCGTGGGAAGCACGGGGTGTGGGCGTGGGAGCACGGGGTGTGGGCGTGGGAAGCACGGGGTGTGGGCGTGGAGAGCACAGGCGTGGGAGCACAAGGTGTGGGCGTGGGGAGCACGGGGTGTGGGCGTGGGAGCACAGGCATGGGGAGCACGAGGTGTGGGAGTGGGAGCATGGGGTGTGGGCGTGGGAGCACCTGACAGGCATGGCCATGTGGCCTGAGGAGAACCTGACCCAAGGCCGCTACACTCAACAGCTTCCATTTTAAGGAGCAAAAGGCACCCAAACCCCAAACGCTGCGGTGAGAGGACAGACGTGGACTAAAGCGGCTCCCCTGCGTCCCCAGCTACAAGCCTGCTCAGGTGACCGGCCACGCTCATGAACAGAAACACGGTCAGGTTCTACCTGGGACCGGGCCCGAGTGGCCCGACCTCTCTCCAGCCCCGAGGCGCCCGAAGGGCTGGGCCCCGGGGTTTCTGGTGCCCACGCCAGAACACGAGCCCGAAGGCAGTTCTCAGCCCCTTAGATGGTTCCCTCGGAAAGCAGTGCGGGTTCCGGGCAGGAGGTGGCCACGGACAGAAACACCACAGGTGCGAGCTGTGCTGCTTTCCTGGCAAATGCGTGCCACCGCTGCGGCAAGCATCGGCATTGACGTTGGTGTGTCGTAATTCTGCAGGTGTTCCGACACTGCATTTAGCTCCTCATAGCACACGTGTGTGTTCCACGCTGTTAGGTCGTGAGGGGGCCGTGTCCAGGCTGACCGCCTTCCTCGTGCTCCAGGCGTCCCTCCCTCTGCAGACCCCACCCCAGCACCGGGCTAAAATGAATCAGTTTTGTTCAGCAGGCGTGGCTCAGTGGTTGAGTGTGAGATCATGGCTCAATTCCCCCTCCAGGGTACATGCCCCAGTGAGAGGCATGCAGGAGGCAGCCAATCATAATTCTCTCTCATCATTGATGTTTCTATCTCTCCTCCCTCTCTCTGAAATCAATGAAAAATATATGTAAAAAATGTTAAAAAAAAAAAAATGAGCCAGCTTTTCCCATCAGCCTCTCCACGGTCTGACCTTCCCACCTTGATCTTGGCCTTGGTCTCTGTGGCCCGTCAGGGCTCCTGGTGACCTTTTCTGATTCTCCCTCGGCTGCCTGTCCAGCCTCAGCCTCCTGACTTGCTGGCTGCTGCCTGCACTTGGCCTGAGGACGGAGCCAAGGTCAGCGAGAGCCTCGTGTGTTCATCATCTTCGCTGAAGTTGTGGTTTCTCCTGCAGTCCTGACTCCTGTCTGGTTGGTCAGGCGCAGTCCTGCTTGGCCACTTTGGTCCTTCACTTTCAGAGGTCGTTTCGAATCGTTGCTCCTTCGGCCGTCAGATGGTGTCGCCCGCAGAGCTTCAGTCTCTCTTCTGCCAAAATTCACTCCTCCCTCGAGTCCCTCTGTTTTTCGAGAGGCAGCACGCTCTGTGTGCAGACTGAGAGTCTGACGCCTTCGCCGATAGGAAACCGTCCTGCATCCGTGGCATGTGCTGACCCGGCCGCTCCCAGGTGGCTGCCGAGACAGTCAGTGCCGGCTCCTTCCTCAGAGCAGCCCCGCTTCCCACAGACCCGGCTCCCTGCAGCGCCAGCACCCGGGAGCTGGCCTCAGGCTGAGGCCTTTCTCTCCCGAGGCCTGGCACCGCCCGCTCCTCCCGCTCCTCGAGGCATGGGCATGGCTGTGGCACCGTGGCCGCACCACCCATGTGGGAAACGGGGCCACGGCTTCCTTCCCCGAAGACCGGGATGGGCACTGACCCTCAGACTGGTAGCTCTTGGTTTTTCCCATGTTTGTCGGCATATTCTTGTTAGGGTTTTGACAGGTTAGTCTCTGTGCTAAGTCCTTCTGTCTGTACTCCACCTGCCCTGCAGTTTGCCCTCCCCAGATCTCGGGCAGCTCTCGCTTGGCGTTCCAGAGCTCCAGGCTCCTCCCCGGAGGCTGCTTCTCCCCAGGCCTTCATCCCGTCTCCGCACACACTTCCACTGGCACCCCACCTGCCTTCTCCTGGCGGTCTCTCCCTCCGTCTCTGGCAGTCACCCCCCTCTAGGTCTGAACTTTCCTCTGTCCCCTGAGCCTCTGGTGGGGCCTTGGGGTCTCCTTGTTTGTGCTCCCCTGTCTCCTCACATGGACCATTGATCCAGACCCAGAAGCTCGGACCGACTCGGAAGCCTCAGAGGGAAGGCAGGGGAGAGCTCACCATGGATGAATAGCCCATGGACACAGACAGTAGCGGGTGAAGGCCTGGGTGGTGGACAGGGGCAGGCTAGAGGGGTCGACGGGGAGGAAAGGGGACATGTGTAATATTTACAACAATGAAGATTTCTTAAGAAAAAATAGCTCTCTTCTCTACATGGTCATCACTGAACTGCTCTGGGGACCCTGAGCCTGGTCTTGTCACCTTGAACGTGTCCCTCACTGGCCTCTAACTACGGGTAGGTTTCTCTGTCCTCCATCTCGAGTCTTCCTTCCCTTTACCTCATCTTTCTTTTCCTTTCCTTCCCTTTACCTCATCTTTCTTTTCCTTTCCTTCCCTTTACCTCATCTTCCCACCATCCTCCCCAGTAAGGTGTCCGGTTTCAGGGCACTGTTGCTCTGCTTCTCGCTCAGGCATGTTTGTCCCTGCACACCTGCTGCTTGTTTATGTGGTTCAGCCGCCGTGTGGCTGCTCACCTGGCCAGTGGCACCCGATTCCCAGGGGCCCCCAGCCTCTGTGTGGCGTGGGTGCTCACGGGCAGCACCCCCTGCTCCCGGCTGTGCACAGAGGGAACAGGCCTACCCCCTCCCCCTCCAACCCCAGCCGCTCTGATCCCAGTCCGTCGCGAGACCCCGCACACCGTCGTCCGGCTGTGGGAGCACGTGTCTGTGATGACAGGTTCCTGGCTCCGCGGAAGCCCGCAGGCTGACCGCAACACTCCTGGGCCCAGGCCACACACACCCGGCCCCCGGGCACACTGGGTCCCACGTTTCTTCCTGCTGCGTCCCAGGCTCCCTGCGTTCTCAGCGCGTCTCGTGCCGTTGCCGTGTGCCCTGTGTTCCTGGACCCACGGAAAGCGTTCTGCCTCCTCTTCCTTCGCTGCCGGTCTTGGGGCGCAGACGGAGTGATGGTTACGGTGGCGCTTTTCCTGGCAGTCTGCTCGGCGTTGCTCCACCTGACCCTGCACAGGGCCTGCCTGCGCTGTGCCCGCTGTTAGGAGCGGCCCGCTTCTCCGAGTGTGCGTTCCAGGAGCACAGGCAGCTCCAGAGGAGACGCCCTCCTGGTCCCTGCGGCTCGCTCACGCCCGCATGGCCCCGCGGAGCCTGACCGGCTCCGGCCCCCTCGGCGCCCGCGGCCGCTCCTCGTGCGAGTGCGGCGTGGAGTCCCCTCCGCGCCACCTGAGTGCGACGGTCACGGAGGGGATCCCTCCAACAAGGACTCCGTGGAACCTCCAGCTCAGCATGGTCCTTCCGTGCGTCCCAGGGAGACCCCACTGAGCAGTCTCCGTTCATCAGAAACAATTCCCTGTCAAACTGCCCAAATACGCTGCCTGAACACACCTACGTGTCCCATACCTGGCGCCGCACATGTAACCAGCCATTGGCTGGAAGTCGCTCCTCGTCCCACCGTGTGAGGTCTGTCTCACCGCTCACCACGGGCACTCACAGCCCGCCCCGCCCCGGCCTGTGGTGCGGGTGGGGATGCGGGGGCGGGGGCGGGGGCGGGTTTGGGCGCGGGTGCGGGTGGGGGTGCAGGTGCAGGTGTGTGTGTGGGTGCGGGTGCGGGTGGGGGTGCGGGTGCGGGTGGGGGTGGGGGTGCGGGTGCGGGTGCGGGTGCCTTGTCTCACAGGCTGGGCTGGGATGACTTTCTGAGATTCGAAAAAAGGAATGGACATTTCCGGGCCTCCTGGGGCCCGGGCCACACGGGGACCGCTCTGTCCGTACCCGGGCGGTGAAGTCCACGGCGGCGCCCCGGTTGAGCAGGAGGGTGGCCACGTTGACGTTGCCGTAGTGGGCGGCGATGTGCAGCGGCGTGAAGCCACTCTGGGGAGCAGAGAGAACAGTCAGTCAGGCCATCCTCCCCACGTGCTGTCCCCGGAGCAAAGGATAACCACGTGGTAAGAAACAAAACAAAACAAAAGCACTGAGGGGTCACTGTCTAGCTGGTGTCCGCAGCTCGGCCCAGGCCACGGCGCTCCCCGAGGCTCCCGGTCAGGGGTTGGAGGGGAATAGCTGTCTCTAAGGTCAGTGAGCCCCACATTCTTGGTGTTATTTCTAACCACCTGCACAATTCACCTATGAGATTTGCCATTTATACAAAAGCAGGTTTCTTGGGTGCATTTAGCTTTAGAGAAAAATGATTCCACTAAACAGCATAAGGTATTAGCCATGAGAATAACAATTATGAGTTTTAAGTGTTTTCTCCTGGGAAAAACGCAAAATGAATATTTCTTAAGAAAGCCAGCAGTCAGGGCACGTGGCTTAAAGAAAAAGTCCAAAAAACACACAAAGGTTAACCAACATATTTGCTGTCAATGTGAATATAAAATTAAGAAATTTAGTGAACCTAATTTTGAACGTTATTTAAACCAAATTTTATCAATAAACTAAAATGGGTCTAAAATACAATAAGCAGGTTAAATGAGCTAGACGGGCATTAGAGAACTGTTACCATCAGAATGTTGTTTTTTTTTAATGTCTTAAGCTCTTAAATGGCAGTATATTTTCATTCTGATGAAAAATTAGAAATATTTGCCATTTTCACAGAAGAAGCATAGCAATTTCTGTTATTAAAGTATGCAAAGCGGTATTATCCTTGCTCTGCAATTTTAATAATTTCATTACTATTTTTAATGAAAGATTACAGAAGCAATCAAGACTGTTCCGTAACCTGGGTCTCAGTCCTCAGGTGAGTGGTTATCTAGTATTGTTCTCTTTTATTTGAAACTAGAGGCCCGTGCATGAAAATTCATGCACTGGATGGAGGGGGACCCTCAGCCTGGCCTGCCTCTTCTCAGTCCACGAGCCCTCGGGGGCGGGAGGTGACCCAGCGGTCAGGGGAAGAGGCAATGCCCCATCACACCTCTGCTGCTGCCACTGCTGGCAGCACAAGCCTCAGCCGACCCTGGTTACTGAGCCTCGGGCAGCCCTAGGTGGCTGGGGGGCTGAGGAGAAAGGGGGACTCCGGAGGCAGGCACCCCGGTGGGGCTGAGGGGACTGGGCACTGCCATCTTGTGGCTATGGGTGTAGCAATCAATTAGCATATTCCCTCCTTATCGGCTGTGAGTGCCACCATCTTTGAGGGCGGGGGAGTCAATTAGCATATTTCATCTTTATTGGCTGTGGGTGCCACCATCTCTGCTATGGTGTGAGGGTCAATTAGCATATTCCCTCTTTAATAGATAGGATGAACTTGGATGTGGATAGCACTGTTTTTAAGAAATGTCACCTGGATCATGACCATTACTTTTCTGTCCACTTGAGGTCAGACTTCATGACTTTGCCTTTTAAACGGCCCAGATAAGGCCCGAGACCCCTCAGGGACAGGAATTCCTGTGGCCACGCTAGCTGCACACAGTTTCTGACAAGAGCAAGACACAGAGCAACAGTAGCTCAGCATCCAAATCCACAGGGTTGGACGTTGCTATTTTGTGGCTACTTGAGGCCAAACATTCATGTCAGAGGGAAGAATCAGTCTGCGACCTGGCTGTGATTTTATAAAGTGCCAAGTGCTTATAATTGAAGAACTAACGGACGTGTGTTTTTCATCTTTACCTTCATCTATCCTGTCACCCAGACAATACCCTGAGTGTGTGCCTATTATTCCAGTTACCCTTCATCACAGCAAAACATAGTGATTGCTGCTGGATCTTTTCCAAATTCTTCAAATAGAATATTATTTTTCTCATTTGCACAATTAAACAGGCCTATGGTCCAAGGTGGCCTCCCCGGTGCTATGGCGCCTGCCTGCGGCTGGGAGGAGTCCCTGAACTCAGAGCCTGAGTCGCCCAGGGAACCCCTGAGACCCGTGTCCTCACAGACCCTTCCTGCCTCAGCGTGAACCTTCCCACACGGAGTCTTCCAGTGCACGCGTGGAGCCAGGACGGCTTCAGAAATGCATCTCAAACACCAAAAGTCACCTAAACAGTTAGTGGCACTAAACCAGTCACTGAGACAGCCCTCCACCACACAGGTGGGCCTGTGCATTTTGGTTTTTGTGTTTTTATCTCTGCCCCAAGTTCCATGCACAGAGATGGAACAGGAGAAAATATAGGATATCCAAGTGTATTAGCGTCTCCATGGGTCATTTGGTTGGTAAGCAAGGTGTTAGGCTTAGACACACGCTCTCAGGAACACCGTGTGTGGGTGCTGGCCTCCAGCCCTGCGCTCGAGAGAGGCTTGTCCGAGTGAAAATCTATAACCAGTCCCTGGACTCGGGGGCAGGTCCTGCGTCTAATGTACTTTCAACAAGGCTTGCTAGGCCTCCGGGCAGTGGGTGGCCACAGGCATGGAGAGGCCACTAAACACACGCGCGTGCACACACATACACACACGCACACACATGCACACACACACACTACATCTAAGCTGATGCTGTGCGTATGGCTGTGGCTTCCTGTGCTCTGTGGAAATAGGTGCCTCGTGACAGGTGCTGTGAGGCAGCATTACGAGGTGTGTGCCCCGGGATGCGGCCACCGTCGTCACTGACCAGAGGGCACCTGTGATGAGACGACAGGACGCGGGGGGGCGGGGAGCCTCCGCCCAGGGCACCGTCTAAGCTCGGCCGGGACCCTCACCGGCAGGCAGCATGCCACGCGGCGGGACCCGCTTTGAGAAACAGTTTCCCTGCACGCTCACAAGCCGTTTCATACTCTCACTGGGTAAATAACGCTTCAAATGTTTGCGAGATTCAATGACTTGAATTGTCCAGTGTCTTAATTATGGAAACGTTTCCAAATTAATTTCCTAATAAGGGAAGTACCAATCATTAGTATAAGTTAGTGAGCATTTATTCTAACTGGGCAAAACTAGCAAAAGAAATAAAAACAGGCGTATGCTGGCAAAAGCTGGTACTGTACCTCAGTCGTCCTATTCACCATCATCTGAAGCGGTGGGTGGGGGAAAGAGCGGAGATGTTAGCACACTGGAGACGGTCGTGCCTGGCGCGGCCGCTGGCCAGCACATGACACCGCTCCTCTTTGTTTCTATTCTTTTACTAGAAATGGGAAAATTAAGCAACTTTCTACAAAGCTGAACCTCATCTTTTAAAAAACATTTTTTATTTACTTTTTTTGTTAATCCTCACCTGAGGGTATTTTTCTATTGGTTTTGAGAGACAGAAGAAGAGAGGAGGAGAGACAGAGAGAAACGTCGATGTGAGAGAAACCCATGCATCCTCCAGCATGCATCCCGACCAGCGCTGGGGAACTGAGGTGCATGCCCTTGACCGGAATCAAACCTCGGACCCTTCCGTCCGAGGGCCGATGCTCTACCCACTGAGCCACACCGGCCAGGCTAGAAAGGATTATCCTTAACTTTTCTGTTCCGGCACCTGACAGTCGGTGCCCTTCCTCCTCGCCAAACCCCCTCAGAGTCAGTGACCCCGCAGACAGCCACGTGCTGTGTCCGGCCACGCTCCCGCCGCGGCCCGAGGCCGGCCTTACCTTGGACTGTACGTCGGCGTTGTGGTCGCTCTGCAGCAGCAGCGCCGCGGACTTGGTGTCGTCCTTGCGGGCGGCGATGTGCAGGGCGGGCAGCCGCACCTTGCCCTTGGTGTCATTCTCCAGTAGCACCGCCACCGCCTGGTTGTGGCCCTGCTGCAGCGCCACGGCCAGCGGCGTGAAGCCGTCCTGCGGGGACAGCGGCCTGAGCTCGGGAAGCCGGGGGAAGCAGTGGCTAGGCGGACAGCAGAGCCACGGGGAGGACCGTCCCGCAGAGGCGGAGGAGTGCGAGCAGGCCCTGGCCTCCTGCTGTAAGGGTGAGCCCGGACCTGCACGTGCTGCTGCCAGCGTCTCCCTTCAGGGCAGCTAATGTTTGCTTTATAGCCCGGCCGGGTGGCTCAATGGTGCAGCACGGACCTAGGAGCCAGGAGGTCAGGGTTCCATTCCCGATCAGGGCATAGACCTGAGTTGCAGGCTCCATCCCCAGTGTGGGGCGTGCAGGAGGCAGCCGATCCATGATTCTCTCCCATCGTTGTTTCTCTCTCCCCCTCTCCCTTCCTCTCTGAGATCAATAAAAGACTATTTTTTAAATGTCTGCTTCATCCATTCAGGGTCTAATGTCACAGGTGCCCCACCGTCTGCGGGTTCCGCGTGCCGGCTCTGCCTTTGCCAGTCTGTGCGGTAAAGTCCGGTTTGGTCTGATCCGGTGGAGCCACCCCAGCTTCCTCTTGGTTTCTATTTGCATGGAACACTGTTCTCTACCCTGACTGAGCCAGCGGTTTCCAAACTTTTGCACCTCATGGCACTGATATTCAGTGGCACACCAAGAGTTGCATTTTTTTGGCCGATCTGACCAACAAAAATAGGCATACTTTTGACTCATTTACACTGACGGACATTGTTGTGCTGGCTGTTGTCGTTTTTTAAATTTGACAAGCTAAGGGAAACGAGGCAGGGTATGACGCATTTAAACATTCCCACGGCTCGCTGGTTAAAAATCACTGTTTGGAAATGGTTTTCATATGAGAACCATACTCATATGCACTGACACAGGAGAAATGGAGCGCTAATAAACCCATGTCTGAATAGATGGATGAGTGAGTGTGCCGCGTTGAGAGGAAGCACGGCAGCCTGCGTGGGGAGGGCATGGCACGGAGAGCGGGGAGCAGGGCAGAGCGGCCGGGGGCCCATCAGGGACCTGCTCGCTGGCTGCGTGCGGGGCTCCTCGCGGCCACGGCTGTGGCCCCGGCGGCCTCACGGCCCGCACGGCACGGGGAAAGCCTGTGGGGCTCACCTCGGTGGCGGTGCTCTGGTTGGCGCCATTCTCCAGCAGGTACTTCACAACCTCGATGTGGTTCTCCTGGGCAGCCATGTACAGCGGCGTGAAGCCGTTCTGGAGACACAGGACAACACGCAGCCCGTCATTCCTGACAGTGAGCGGGCGGGACACAGACGAGGAAGGAGGTCGGGAGTGAAGCTGATGGGGCTGCCCCTCTCGTGGGTGAGCAGACATGTCCCCGCCACGGAGCTGCCCACACCCAGGCCTGAAGGACAGGGACAAGGACATGGGGAGACGTGTCCTCGATCCTGTCTTCGTTTGGTCCCAGGGAGGCACCGTCTCGTCTCCTCACACTCGTTAAAGCAGAGACATTGAGCACCTTCATATCTGCATGTTCATACACACAGAGTCCTCACCGCTGGCACACACAGGGTCCCCCAGGATGGAGACACTGCACAATTACAAAGGCGGTCTGCACCTCAGCGGGCTTTCACTTTAGGGGGGTTTCCTTTGTCCAAAGCTCAGTCTGGCTGGAAAGAGACATCAATGGAGCCATCAGCCATTAAAGTGTGTAGACGTGCTCTGGGACTCCCTAAAGGTGAACAATATTTATGTACTGTCTTCTGTGTTCATCCGTGTGTAGCTATTTAAACAGACCACCACGATCTTCAACGTCCAGTTTAGTTATTACCGAACATGGGTCAGAGCCAACGCGCAAAAGCATCTTTTTAAAAAATATGTTTTTATTGCCCTAGCCCAGTGTCGGCAAACTCATTAGTCAATAGAGACAAGTATCAACAAGAAAACAATGAAAATTTCTTCTGAGAGCCAAAATTTTTTAATTTAAACTTCTTCTAACGCCACTTCTTCAAAATAGACTCACCCAGGCCATGGTATTTTGTGGAAGAGCCACACTCAAGGGGCCAAAGAGCCGCATGTGGTTCTTGAGCTGCAATTTGCTGACCACGGCCCTAGCCAGTTTGGCTCAGTAGATAGAGCATGGGCCTGGGAATTGAAGAGTCCTGGGTTCGATTCTGGACAAGGTCCCTGACTTGGGTTCTGGTTGGGGCGTGTGCAGGAGGCAACCAATCGATTATATATAAACTAGGGGCCTGGTGCACAAAATTTGTGCACTGGGGGTGGGGTCCCTCAGCCCAACCTGCCCCCTCTCACATACTGGGAACCCTCAGGGGAGGTCCTGAGGCGCAGTCTGGCTTCCCTCTGTGGGAGGCGAGTGGGCTATCAGGGGAAGGCACCAGCCCATCACCCGGCTGCTGCAGCCCCTGCCAGTCACACAGCCACCAAGGGTTTTCATTAACATGGACTCCAGTCCCTTCACTAAGAAAAAATGACAACTTTCTTTAAGCATTTTTCAAGATGTGTCTTGCATAGGATATGCATTTCTTTCTTTCTGTCTGTCTTTCTTTCTTTTTTCTTTTTCTTTTTTTTATCCTCACTTGAGGATATGTTTCCATTGACTTTTAGAGAATGTGGGAAAGAACAGGAAAGACAGAAACATCACAGTGAGAGGAACACTGTGATTGGTTGCCTCCTGCATGAGCCCTGATCTGGGCCCCAGCCAGGGAGGAGCCTGCAACCTAGGTACATGCCCTTGATCAGAATGGAACCGGACCCTGCGGTCGGCAGGCCGAGGCATTACCCACTGAGCCAAACCAGCTGGGGGAGGATATGGCATTGCTCAGCCCTCCAGCAGCGGGACTTCACTTTTTTCTCCAGAAGTGTGGTGAAAACCCAGATCACCTTTTTGAATTCTTATCACCCAAGTTACTAAGAACATTACCAGTGCATGCAGGGAGCTCAGCCAATGAGCGGTCAGAAAAGGCGTTTCCTCTGTAGCTCAAACCAATCGCAGGCTGGGCCCTGCCCAGGCCTAAAGCCTCTAGCCGAAGCTTTATGCCTGGCCATTGGCCCTGCAGCTCCCTGGGAACACAGGCTCTGCCCCTGCCCAGGCCGAAAGCCTCTTGGGCAGGAGGGGACCCCCAGCTCCCTGCGATCCATCACCGCGGTCCGCTTCTGCTCCAGGTCTTACCTCACAGTGACCTGGGTGCCAGGATGTTCCTGGGACATGGGCTCTGGGTGCATCTATGTATGCAAATTAACCACCATCTTGTTTGGGTTAATTTGCATAGTCACTCTGATTGGCTATAGGCATAGCGAAGATATGGTCAATTTACATGTTTGTCTATTATTAGTTAAGATATCCTATATAATGAAAGCCTAGTATGCTAAGTGTCCAGTCGCCTCGTCAGCCATTCAACCAATCAAAGCGTAATATGCTAATGATATACTAAGTCCACTCAACCACTCGCTATGACATGCGCTGATCACCAGGGGGCAGACACTGCAACCAGTACGTTAGCTTGCTGCTGGGGTTTGGCTGATCAGGATTGGGAATGATGGGCAGGACATGCCCTGGAGCCCTTCCACTGTCCCTTCAAGGCTGGCCAACCTCTGGCATCTCTCCCTTGCCCTGATTGTGCACCAGTGGTGTCCCTTGACCTGGACTATTCCCTCTTGCAATCTGGGCCCCCTTGGCGGGTGTCCAGGAGCTGGTTTCGGCCCAATCCCACATGTCAGGCCAAGGGAACCCATTGGTGCACAAATTTGTGCACCAGACCTCTAGAGTGTGTGTGTGTGTGTGTGTGTGTGTGTGTGTGTATGTGTGTGTGTGTATATATATATATATATATATATATATATATATATATATATTCTTTAAATTGATTTGAGTGAGAGGGGGAGAAGGAGAGAGAAACATCAATGATGAGAAATAATTGAGCCCCCAACCTGGGCATGTGCCCTGACCAAGAATCAAACTGTGATCTCCTGGTTCATAGGTCAACGTTCAGCCACTGAGCAATACCAGCCAGGCACTAGAAAGCATCTTGAAAACATTTTTTTCAGGGCTAAACATATTTTTAAAATAATCCAAAGACCTTTTGCAAGACAGAAAGCATAGAAAGCTGCAATTCATGGACATGTGAGTACCCAGCTAAGGTATGCCGTCGGCAGCTGCGCAGATTGGGTGGGATTCACTTCCCCTTACTCGTCTTTGTTGCATTTGTAACTGGTGAGAAGGGGTGAGTGCAGTGGGTCCTCGTGTGTATTTCCTGAGATGAAGCAGCCTCAGTGAAGGGGAGTTTAAAACAGCACAAATCTCGGTAACACTGTTTCCACCTGCTCCTTGCCCCACAGGACCAGTGGCACCAGCTCCAACAGGAAAGGGTGCTGGCCGAGCCGGGTCCGAGCTGCGCAGAAGGAGAAGTCCCTCCTGAGAGGCCTGGTTCGTGCAGGTCAGTGTCGGGTTCAGGCTTTCCCCAAACAGAACTGCTCAGCAGGCTGGTGGGCACTGCGGGCTGGTGGGCACTGAGGGCTGGTGGGCACTGTGGGCTGGTGGGCACTGAGGGCTGGTGGCACTGCAGGCTGGTGGGCACTGCGGGCTGGTGGCACTGCAGGCTGGTGGGCACTGCGGGCTGATGGGCACTGCGGGCTGGTGGGCACTGCGGGCTGGTGGGCACTGCGGGCTGGTGGGCACTGCAGGCTGGTGAGCACTGCCACCTCGTGGGCACTGCGGGCTGGTGGGCACTGCGGGCTGATGGGCACTGCGGGCTGGTGGGCACTGCAGGCTGGTGAGCACTGTGGGCTGGTGGGCACTGCGGGCTGGTGGGCACTGAGGGCTGGTGGGCACTGTGAGCTGGTGGGCACTGCGGGCTGGTGGGCACTGCCACCTCGTGGGCACTGCGGGCTGATGGGCACTGCGGGCTGGTGGGCAATGTGGGCTGGTGGGCACTGCCACCTCGTGGGCACTGCGGGCTGATGGGCACTGCGGGCTGGTGGGCACTGTGGGCTGGTGGGCACTGCGGGCTGATGGGCACTGCGGGCTGGTGGGCACTGTGGGCTGGTGGGCACTGTGGGCTGGTGGGCACTGCCACCTCGTGGGCACTGCCACCTCGTGGGCACTGCGGGCTGGTGGGCACTGCCACCTCGTGGGCACTGCGGGATGGTGGGTCTGGTGCACTCATGGGCATTGCCGCCTCATGGGACCCATGACCCACCCTGGGACCACGACCCTCCTCCTCTGCACTGGCCTTCTGAGAGAGAAGCTCCGGAAGCTCCCACAATGACCTCCAGCCTTAAGGGCAGGGTGACCAGTCACCGCCCTAAACAGCTCGTATGCACACAGCTGCACAGGCTGCGCAGGCCAGTGGCACTCCGTACGGGACGGGGCCAGACTGTGGCCGCGGGCCGGTGCACAGGTGCAGTGACAGCGCCTGGGTGAGGAGCCTGCCAGACTCCCCGAGGACGGGAGTGGGGACTCTCACCAGGTCATGACACTTATTCTCACCTGTTCTCCGAAGGTCCCCTCTAAAGGATCACAGCTATGCCGGTAAATGACTTAAGATTGCTGCCAGGATTAGGAGGGTGGCATTTCTCCATCCCTAGTGGGAGTGGGTTTCTTGTGATAACTTCAGAAAAGGAATTTTCTAAGACACGCACGGGAGAATGAATGCTTTTTGTTTGCGTGGAATCATATCTGTTCCCACAGTCCCATGTCCCTTAACCACATCCTGGGAGGTGTGCAGGGGTCTGGCTGAGCTGAGAGCGGGGCCAGTGTGCAGCGCATCCGCTCCCTGGTGCCACGTGGCAGGCACAGGGGAGCACGCCCCCAACAGGAGTCCCCAGGGAGCGAGAGGCCAAAGCTCAAGAGCAGGGGAGGGGAAGGCCCCTCTGTTCAGCAGAGAAGCATCTCAGATCTCCAGGCCTTACGGTGGCCGCCTCTTCTGGCCTCTGACTCGCTCCCAGGAGTGACGGACAGATGAGATCTTCCCCCGCCACCTGACCTCACTGGCTGGGTGTGTGGCCCAGGCGCCTCGCCCAGGATCGGCAGAGCGGGCCTGGAGAGGTTTAGCTGCGGTTTCCTGGCAAAGCCGTGTCAATGGCCCACGTTCTCTAGGCTCGCTTGACTGGTTCCTGTCAGCAGGACCAGGTCACTGACGGCGTCAAAGTGACTCATGTCCTAACTCTCTAGGAGCGGAGACTCTGAGCGTGTGCCAGGTCCTCTTGTTTCACTCCCCCGCGCCCATCCGGCCGCC